GTCACGGCTGCTACCCACAAACTTAGTCAAGATGCCGTCACGTGACCGATATCGCAGTAATTTGATTCGCTCCCGGGGTCAACTTATGCAACGACGAGGGCCTGCTTACCTCGGGTTGCAATGGACCCGCCCAAGCAAACGAGACGAATGGGGGAATCTTCCGGAACAAGCCGATATTACACGATGCGAATGGAGGCCGGACGTTTCGCAGACTCGACGTTTGGCTTCTAATAAAGTCACGTTCAGTCGGCAACGATTAATCATCCTCGATCGTTGGTGAACGGCGAACGGTGAACCATGACTGTTCCCATTGGTTGTGTATATCATAGCTCGTTTCAAGTGATCAATATTTCATTGCGTGCAGGAGAACTTGTGTGCAAAGACCACGGTACTACGCCTTCGTAGAGCCTTTGCCTTATTTGGTACATCAACTTTCGACAAGGGCTTGCGAGCATACAGCGACCTTAGGAATGTAGACACTAATGCAGCCTTGTGGGCTAGCACGGAGGCTATCCGCCATATCGCTAGAAATTGTCAAAAGGGGTGGGCGGCTTTATATGTGAAAGTCGAAGCAAACTGCACCGTGACAACTTTAGTACTAGGTCTGCTTTCAAACCGCAAAACTTGCAGAGCGGCCCAGAGTCCAAAACTCGCACGGTGATCTTTGCATCTGTCATCCTGCAAGCCAGTACCAAATCCTCATCAAGAACATAGGTGACCGGAGTAGAATTTTTCATCATACCCGTATCTTCCATGCATCCCCGGTGTATCGAATGCTTAAGTAGAGCTCTATGCATGCCATCTAGATTGCGATTTTGAGTGAGCAGCCTGCCTACTTTAACCGTGTTTGTAGCGTCTCGATAAACCAGTCACTAGACCTGGCCGCAGCGCCGCAGGAACAAAATCCGCCGGCATGGCAGGGTCCTGCTTGTCCTCTCGGTGGCTCGCCATCGACGACACACGGGACGACGTCGGTTGGACGACCGGCCCCAGGCTCTGCATCGTCCCCAGAATCCGCTCCGCATCCGACTGGACATCCGCTCCACTAAGCCTGTACTGCCTCGGCATAATCCCCTTCCCGAACGTCCTTGTCACATGGTTCGTACACAACAACGACACAGTGATATTCGCAATATGCAGCGGCACAAGCGCGAAGGCCGCGGTCCACATCGTCCGGAGACTCGTCCGCGCGAAGCGCAGGAGCTTGCCCTTGCACCCGGGGAGCGATGACCGCACGTAGCATCGCCCGCTCGCCGTCGCCTCGTGCAACGGGCTGTTGTAGCCGCAGCACCAGAGCGAGTCCTGGATCGTCAGTCGGCCGAGTGGCGTGTAGTACTGGCTCCAGGCGAGGTTGAGCTTGCGGTCGAGCGCGAAGGCGTAGCGCTTGTAAGACGTGTAGCCGACGGCGAGAATGGCGACGAAAGCGGGCCAGAGCAGGAGGGAGTACACAGCAAGGATGGGGCGCGAATTGAGGATTGTGCCTGTCATGCCGACAATGAAGGTAAAGAGAAGTAGCGAAGATGCGAGCGTGATAAGAACCAGAAGGTCATAGTTGGCAACGTAGAGGACGTCTGCATGGTCCCAGGCTGCATATATGCGGCAATAATCAGTACTTGTGCACAGAAAAAGCGGCTATATATGCTCTCAACGCCCACCTCTGAACCATGCAAAGAGCACGCACACCAACCCAGCGACTCCAACTAAGAATACCGTGCATACAGACAGAAACAGCCACCACTTGTGTGCCGTCCAGCGATTCGGCCTATCCATGCCCAGTCCGCTGCTTCTCTCCAGTGACGATCCAATTAACGCGGGGGATGATGGCGCAAGCCTGGTAACGCTGCGAGTCAAAGTTCTGTCGATATCTAAGCCCCGAACAGTCTGAGATATCGGGAACTTCTTCATGAGCCGGTCTGCGATGCTCAGCGAAGAAAATATTGTTGAGCGTTTGGATGTCTTCGATGGCGGCTTGGGGCGCATCGGAAAGGTCGCTGTAGATGCGGACGATGGCAAGCGTGACAGTTGCCCAGCGTCCGAGTCGAAGACATGCGCGAGACGTGGAAGAGAGCGGTATGCATCACCAAAATCTGGACGGCTCGGCTGAGCAAGGAGGGGGACGTCGGACGTTGAAGCATGGAAGGACCCGAGTGAATGCGAGGATAAGGGCTGGTGCTCGCTCGCAGGGCCGGAAGGTACAGGTCCAAAGTTAGTGTATAGCTCTTCATGAGCAGCAGGAATACAAGGTTGGGGATCGTTGTGCGGGATGTGCAAGAGTAGTCCATTGGTCGTCGGCTGGTGGTAACCAGGAGCTGGCGGCAAAAATGGTGAGCTGGGTAGCCGGGAGTGAAGTCTCTTCTTCTGGACAAGCAGCACGGTCGGTCTCGAGTGCACGATGTCGGCATCTTCAACTTGGATAGTACCAGGGGGAAGACTTGATAGGGAATCCTGTGTCCCTTGTCTAGTCGCAGAGCCGTGACTGAAAGCGCCTGAGCGGTGGCGGGTAGAGGACCATGTGGATGAGACAGACGGCGGCTGTGGATGAAACATGTTATCGCCAGAATAAAGCCGCTGTGAGCGAAACCGTTATCGTCGTCCGTCCAAACAAAGGGAAGTCAGCCTCATAGTGTCTGACCAACGCCTGTGGAAGGCCGCTGTCAGCTCATCCGGTCCAAACCATGACGCACGCACCACGCATCCCAGTCGAGACTAAAACGACTGCAAACATAGTGTGCAAGATCTGTAATATTGTTCAGCGCAGAACAGGGACATGTTCAGACGGAGAAAGAAAGCGAATGCAAACTATGAGGAACTACAAAGGCTTAGGTAAATAGGATACTGTATCATATGTTTCTGAAGTCAATAAGCGTATCGTGCCAATGCGTCCTGTAAGGTCCAATACCAAAAGTCCGACATGATGCAAAAATGAGATGGAAATGATAAGGTCAGAGATGACGATGCGTGCACGGGGGAATGCCTCTAGGCGGCGTTTTGAGGCAGTTCAATAGGACAGTTGGCGTTTGTGACATCGGTGGCAGTATGCTTGGTGCCGATTAAGCCTGTAATCTTGAATCCAAGGACAAGCCGGAATTGTACAGCTGGATGTGATACCACATCAGGACCACAAAAAAAAATTAGAAAGGTTGCATGTACTTACGCGGTCGCTGGTTGTTAGTATCAAAAGCAGCGTTCCTGCAGCCATTATACCAGTTATTCCCTACGACACGTGTTAGTAGCAAAGGAAGACGTTGTTCACGAAGACGCACATGTTTGATCCGAGTCGTTGCTGGCGACATAACTGAAGTTTAGCGGCATGGAGAGGTGCGAGAATTGCTTCGCAGGGAAGGTCATATGGCCAACATCACCAACCCCAATCTGACGGTTCGTGATGAGATCGTAGACGTCCGCATGGATCTTCTCAATGACGAGAGGCAGAAAGTTGGACTGTGTATCGACCTGCAGATCTGCGACACCAGGGAAGCTGAAGTTCGCTGGGAAGCGATTGAAAGCGACGGGGATACTCTGGTTGAACGACCCTGTTGCCTGCTGCAATGGATCTTGCTGGTTGATTTGGAAGTCTGGCACTCTCGGTATTGTGAAAGCCAAGACGATACCAACGCTGTAATGCATGATAAGAAATGGAATGAGATAGAACAAGAAACTTGAGAACATACGCTATGGCAAAGCAAAACAGGAACCACGCGGTGAACTTCCTGGTGAAGTATCTCCCGCACAGACCTCGTTCGCCGCGCCTCCACTCCTTCCACTTCTGCGCTCGCCGCTCAGAACGTTCTTCACGCTGAGTCTGCTTGATTACAGTGCCCATCTCGGACTTCTGCCATTCCGGACCCAGTGCTGGGACGGTGACCATCTCTACGGGTGCGGTCGTCGCCTCACTCGGCGTCTCTATCTTGGACAGACTCGGCGAGTTCACACGGCGATATCTGCGACAGTACGCCAGTCAGTGTTTCAGCTTGTAGTACGAGGTCAAGACCGGTACCCGTTGTCCGCACCGAACGCTGCGCGTGAGTACCGTGGACCCTGGTTATTGAAGTCGGCATAGATGTCAAAAGGTTCGTCCCGTAAGGCGGCTTCCTCGTCGTATCCGCCCTTGACGGGTTCTTGTCGGCCACCATCAAAGAAGGTGGTGTTGTTGTATCCTGCGGACTGCTTATTCAGAAGCTCGACACTGCCCCGCCCAGGGGCATTTGGATTGAAGAACGAGGAACGAGAGTCCTGCCGCGCGTGAGAAGTGTAATCGGCGTAGGGGGCCGGTGAGGGGAAGTCCTGCTGAAGCGCATCGCCTGAGGCCCTCCGTCCGCCGTAGAAAGAGGACACAACAGACTTGCGATCGTGATCCATGCGAACGACCTGATGTTGCGAGGAGCAGAGTAGAGGGTCTGCAGGGTATCTGCAACGGGTGGCGACGAGAAGCGAGACGCCCACGGCGATATCACCAGAGCAGACGGAGCTGTCTGAGATTCAATATGCAACCTTGCGAAGAATCTGCGGATCATCTGAGTACCAAAGTCCCCCGCTCGCCTACGCCGAGCTTTGATCGATGCTTGCTTGATCCTTGGCTACCACTGCGAGCGTCCTCTGTGCTTCATTGCGACCGGCATCCGTCATCCTTGGCTGTAATATCGTCTCCAGATAGGCTCATAAGCAGGCAGAACTTCTAGCCGTAACGTTTGACAGGCGCAAACGACGAGGCTGTGCGGGATTCACGAGCCTGGCTGTGCATGGCATTCCATGACCAAAACTCCAGGTGTTGTCTTGCTACTTCTCCGACCCTACAGGCTCCTCGGAGGGTCTTGGTATCTCTGTTTCTTGATATTATGGTCTTGGCTCGTTAGCGTTCCGACGTCCTGAGCTGTTTTTGCTCCGAGCTCATTCGCCTGGTCTCCTGCTTGTCCCTCCGGTTCTCTCCCCATACTCGGCCGCAGCGACCGCTGGAAAGCTCACGTAATTCCGCCTAGAGTTGCGTCGGCATGTACACATCCTCGCAGCCAATGGGCTGAGTGGCTTCGGCAACCAGGCTCGTCCAGACCTGCCGTCCTAGGGCGCCTTCCAGCACCTTGCATTCCCGACTGGCATTGACGACGACAGTCGCGCGCCGCCCGATCGAATCTCGTATATCTCAGTGGTGTCTCGTACACACACATTTCTGCCCTATAAGATCCCTGCGTGCTACAGCCCCATCTTCACCATAGTACCTCTGGACTTCACATCTGTATTAGCGACTACCTCTCCTCCTGATGTCCGCCTCTGTAACATCCAGTCTCCCTTGTGGCACATCTTGTCGAGACCGGGCAGCTGCAATTCCGGGCTCAGAGACCCCCGCCGATGGCAGGGGTATAGTCACCAGTGTCAAGGTCGCCATAAGTGTCTTGGCAGGTGAATAAGTTCCTGTCTTCGCGCCTCTACCCTGGCAGGTCTTTCGCGCCGTGCTGACCTCTAACCTATCGCCTGCGTCCTAGTATTCTTCATCTTCATTGTCATTAGCTTCTGCCTTGTGGGTAGAAGGAACTATCCTCGTCCCCACCACTCGCCGCTTCCACAGCATCACATGTCGCCTACTTCGGTTGCTCGTCGCAAGAGCCTGCGCAACTGGTTCAGCTCCCGTCCCCACTCACCGAGCTCACACAACGAAACTCGTGCAACGACGCCGTACGCAACGCATCGGCCCCACTCTGCAGTGTCCTTGTCAGGGTCAACTGTCGTGGATGTCTGCGTGGATTGCCCTATCGTGTACCCACAAGCACCTCCACCCATGTATGTCGCATCTCGAGTGGGCACCGTAACCCCTACGCTCCCCGTAGCATGATTGAGTACCTCACAGTCAATACTGTACCCCTTAATTATGTGCTCTGCTCTGATCTCTGCTTGTTGTGAATCGACCTAGCATGATATCCTCAGTTTGCTAGATTAGACGACTATTTACATGCTGCCCTTCCGAGCCTGCTCGTTGTCTCTTATTGTAATTTACCAGCGAACAGCAAAAGTTGCTCATCTACCCTCACGTCGCGGGCTGCAGCTAGCTGCGGTCTTGCGCCTCGTATGTCCGGTGATCGACGAGACGCCCTGGGAGTGTTCTGGCCGCTGATTCCTTTCTTCCGACACCTTCTCTCCTGGGTCCTCCGACATCGTCGCCGTTGTTTGCGCACCTGCCCTCCATCTCGAAGCCATCCTTGAGTTTACAGTCGTATGAACGGCGATGACACGCGGGTGCCTGCTCGCAGCCGGCCTATAACCGAGTGGCTTGTTACGGCGGCTCCGAGGTAGGCCTTTGGTATGGCTATGCACAGCTCGATCCTCTCGACTTTGAACTGTACGTAGGTCATATATTCGCCAATGGTCTTCGTTCGCACGCTGCACCTTGTTCTCCACCTACGTCGTCGAGGGAGCTAGACGACAATGCCGGCTATCCCATCTCCAGCCAACGCGCCTGGCGCCAGCTCGACTTCCACCCCTCTGAGCATCTCGCGCAGTGTCCTCGCCACTAGTCCCATCGCCACTATCAACATTCTCGAAGCCAATCCTTCGGACGCTGTTAATCCCTCATCAAGTAGCGATGTTGTCCAGCTCGTCCTGGTCATCGGAATCCTCATAGCCGGTACGTCGCGCGTCCTGCACACTTAGCTCATTCGCACTTCCGCTTCGACTCGTACCTGACAACACACGCCTCAGGGATTCTGCTGTTCGGCATGCTCACGTATCTTGCGATAAATGGACCGAAGAGCGGTGGACCTCTCACTTTCTTGGAGTACTGGATAGACTACAATGTCCGGATGCTGAGTGTGCAAGCCGTCGGCATCGAGGCCGGCGCGGACAACAGGTTAGCTTTCATCATCGTGCTCCTAGTATGTGTAATGACGCGAGACCCCGCGATAGGCCTCAGGCAGCACCCACCCCGCCTGAGGGGATGCCCTCTGTCACGACAAATACTACTCCCCCTCACGGCGCTTCCGCACTGTCGCCCGAAAGCTCTGCAGCGCCGCGAGAGGCTGTGAGCGAATAACCACCTGCTCCAAGTCCATCTCCGCCGGTCGCGTCCCGTCGCCCATGATTGCTGTATTGTTCCGCATTCTACTCACTAGACCCTGGACGTGATGATCGCCAGGGCTAGACACTCTCGCTTTCGCCGCGCCGCATGCTCGGCATTCTCCTCAATATGTTATTTGTTGTATTGCTTTGCATACCCGTCTTCCTCTCGTCGTAGAACGCTGTGATTAATTAGTCATCCTCCGCACTCTCGCAAGACTTGTTATACCCCTCGCATTACATCTCTAACGTTAATGTACGGTCACGATATACTACTCGTACATGATATACTGGTTTTTGGTGTAGTCCATGCCTTTCGTCGGCCTGCACGCCCTATCTGTCCTCCACGTGTCTTTCATTCACAGCACGGTGGCAAGCGCCAACCGATCAGCTTTACCTCCGTCCATCATTTTCTCGCTCACTACTCACTGCCGTCCCCTCGGGCCCCCACGCTGCCGACACTCTCACATAATGGTGCTGTTCTTCGCCTCTACAGGTAAGGGTGAAGAGCAATGGCGAGATGAATGTGCATTAAACACATCCTCACAGCAATCGATCCTCCTGCCGTGATCTACATGGGCAAGGACAAGTTCGAGAGTACGTCCTGCCGTCCTTATGTCTCCCCTCGCGCGCGAACTCAGATTCCAGCTCTGAGCAGATGAGGACCTCATAAAGTATGCGTGGCCACAGGATGTCTGGTTTCACGTCGACAAGCTCTCGTCCGCACATGTTTACCTGCGTATGCCCGAGGGCATGACATGGGACGCCATCCCCGAGGCACTGCTCGTCGACTGCGCGCAGCTGGTCAAAGCCAACTCCATTGAAGGTATGGGTCCGCTTTTGTGTGCGGGTTTAGCAGACAGGGCGAGCTCACAACGACAGAATGCAGGCAACAAGAAAGATAACCTCACGATCATATACACCCCTGGAGACAACCTGAAGGTACGCGATGCCCTTTCTCAAGCTTGTGCCATATTCCGGAGCTAGATATAGAAAACGGGAGACATGGCCGTCGGACAAGTATCCTTCCACAACGATAGGCAGGTGCGTGCTACTTTGTTCTTGATGATGCGTTCGAGTCTCATTTGCTTTGACTCTGCAGGTAAAGCGAGGTGCGTTGCTTTGGTCGCTTTGATATCCCAACGGTACAAAGCGCCTGTAGTGTATGTTCTACAGCGTGAAAACCCGATTGTAAATCGGTTGAACAAGACCAAAGTCGAGCGCGAAGTTGACCACGAGCAGGAGCGCGTCGAGCGAATAAAGCAAGAGACCGCCATAAAACGCACTGCGGCCCAAGCAAAGGTGCACTGTGTCTCTATGTGTCTTTGTCAACCAAATATTGATAATCAGCGACTACTACAGAAAAAGGCAGATGCGGAGCTTGCGAAGCAGAGAGAGGCGGAGAAGATTGCGCGCTCGTATGATTCGCTCTTCTCAGGAGGCGACGACTTTGAAGAAGGCGAACTAGACAAGCCAAAGAAGTCTGTTAGGGAGCTCGAGGAGGACTTCATGTAACATCCGACCGCCTCACGCGATCCTCATGTGTACACTGCTTGTATGTAACCACTAGCACCGAATTGTCAGCATATCCCAAACGGCTTCTATCCAAGAGTCTAACCATAAAGCTCATTAGGAATAGCTTAAAGTGACCGGTACAGTCATCTAGGGTTCGTACATGCTAGGATGCATTAATAGCGTCAGATGGTCATCCAACTAGTTTCTCCATGATCGCCTCTATGCTGTTCTCCGGCGGGGGCAAGGCACTCGTTCCGTCTGTTTGGAAGAAGTCGTCCAGAGTGAGCGGTCGCAGATCGATGCCCTCTTCATGTATCCGCGCGAGCTCTACTGTGCTGTTCCCCGCCCGGCGCATGAGTTCGCGCATTGGGATCATCGCGGCATTTCGACAGAGCTCCTTCAGGTCTGAACCCGAGAAGCCCTCTGTCCGCTCTGCAAGGACCGTGAGCGAGAACTTCGGGTCAAGACTAGTATCTCGCAGGATCTGTAGGCGCCATTTTAGCACGAGTATGATAGCCACCCGGATGGCATATATGCGTACCAAGGACAGGATCTTCAGCCGCTGGTCATAGCTGGGCAAAGCGACCGAGAAACGCTTGGGCATTCGCCTCAGAATGGCCGAGTCGATATCATTTGGGCGGTTCGTGGCGCCGAGAACGACGATACGATCTGTACTTGACAGGAGACCATCCCACAGTCTATGTAGCGGTTCAGCACGGGTATATGTGCGAGGATGGTGCGAACGCACGTCATGAATTCCGCCTTCATCATCCCCGTCACTTCATGGTCGCCCTTCGTCCGCTCCCGCAGGAACGAGTCAATCTCGTCAATGAAGACAATGCTCGGCTGCGTTTTCCGCGCGAGAGAAAACAGGGCGGCGACGAGCTTGTTTGACTCGCCGTACCACTTGTTCGTGAGCACCGACGCAGCGATGTTGATGAATGTCGCGTCAGACTCCTTCGCGAGGGCTTTCGCGAGCATGGTCTTGCCGCACCCGGGCGGACCGAATAATAGGACACCCTTTGGCGCGCCCAGCAACGAGGACGAAGCAAAGAGGTCGGGATAGCGTAATGGGAAAATGACAGACTCTTGCATTGAGGAAATTATAGGGTCCAAGCCGCCAATGTCTGGCAGAATGAGTCAAAAGAGAACATAGGCAACTTCTTAAGACAGATACCTGAGAAGTGCACGTCAATATCGTCTGGATGTATAATTTCGGAGGCTATCTGCCCTGAGGTGCCCGAAACGGTCAGCCCAAACCAAACTACAAGGAGACAACAACGCACTCTCATAATCGTCCAGAGTCAAACTCTTGTGACCCAGCCTCTCTAGTGCTTTCAAGCTTTTCTCTTTGACCTCCTTCTTCTCCACGGGGTTCATGGACTGCATCACCCACTGCGGAACCGTGAATGAGACGCGTGCTCTTCTGCGGACACGCTACGCTAGAAGCACTTACTCGTATGGTATAGTACAGGGCTGCCTTGCAAGCAAGTTAGAAAACAGTTGACATGATAGCACG